GTGTGCCACCAACACCTGGGGGCGAGAGACCTTTTTCATGAATGTCCCTGGGTCAGGACTTTGTGAGGCCAAAGAAGTAAAACTTGTTATGGCTGTACAGTCCTTACAGCACAGTAGGTTTACAAATTATTGTTTTATACGTGTTACTTATTAATGTGACCAGAGTGAAAGTGCCTGCCATAGAAAGAAATGGCAGATTTTATAAGGTATGGGCTGCAACAGAAGGAAGTGGAATGAGACGGAAGCCAAAGGACCAATACAAGCTGGAGTAAACAGAAACTGGAATCTGTGCCTAAAGAGTGGCAACTGGGAGGCTGAAGTGAGCACATAAAAAAAAAAAGAGGTCAAAGATCAAAAGCCAATAGTACCAAAACTCCTTTCATTAGACAAAGTAGATAATGAAATAAACATTCAACATCCTAGGCTACACACATAACATCAGAAGAAGCATCTATCCATGACATTCATTATTCCATGGCTAAGAACATGGCCTTTGAAATCAATCCTTTAGAAGTTTCTTCAGTGTAGTCCCTGATTCCCCTCTTTCCTCCTTGCTCATAGTTGCCTCTATTTGTCTCTCAGTTTTGTTTTGTTTTGTTTTGTTTTGTTTTGTTTTTAATCTCTGAAGTTGTTTCACCCTGAGATAAAACTGAAATACATATAACGCATGATGCATTTTAGGCAAGCTGATTTGAACCAAGTAATAGATCTTCCTTTTTCCAACCATGTCTATTAGAAGTCCAGTTCAAGAAAATATGACTGAGATTACCCCCCACCACCACCACTCCTTGAATTGATTTCATTAGCCAAATTTTATCTAGAGCGGAGCAACTTCCTCTGAGATGCCTGCCTGTGAGGAGCTTTGGGCTCTGTACCAAGGCCAGGAGGTGTTTGAGACCTCAGAGGTCCTTCTTTTGCGCCATGGACAAGAAATAAAAATTAAAGGAAAAGGCCACCTTATTCTCACAACTGTAGAATTACTTAATTGGGATGGGCTAGAAATTGCTTTGAGCTAGAGCACTTTCCAAAGTATATTCCATAGCTGAGTTGCTAATATTAATTGTAAAAACAAACAAAAAAGGTTTTATGGTCAAACAAGTTTGGACAATGAAAATTAACATCAAATGGATGATTTTAGTACAAGAAAGTTAACGTCTCTACAGTCCTAGTATTATGGTAAATCACTAAGACAAATATTTTAAAAAGGCCTAATTTCCTGAACAAATTTGAGCCCAGAAAGCTTATTTGATACTATTCCTCATGGGATTGCTCTATTTCTATAGCACACTGCTGGAAATGCTGACTGCTGAGAATAGATGCATTATTTTCCGACATCAACATTTCACAGTAACTCCACAAAAAATTAAGAATAATTTGACTTTAGTTTTCAAGAAAATATATTATCTTTAAATAAAAATAATTATATCCATTGTTATTGGATTAGTGATTCAGACTCTATTCACAGTCAGAGGCTCCCACTGAACTACATGCCTTTTATCCCATAGAGCCAGTCTTTCAGAAAAAAGATGCTTGGTGTCCATTTGTGGACACAGAGCAGTGTAGACTTTATTGTCCCGTCAAGGATTGAACTTATAACATCAGTTTTCTTAAATTTCTTTAATTATGTTCTACAATCAGATTTATAGGCTCCATATTGATCTGACTTCTAGAAGAGCTTTGGGTGTAGAAAAAATATGTTTAAAAGATTTCTTCTTCTTCTTCTTCTTCTTCTTCTTCTTCTTCTTCTTCTTCTTCTTTCTTCTTCTTTTCTTCTTCTTCCTTTTGTTTATTCTTCTTTCATACAATACATCCCAGCCTAGCCTCCTTTCCCTCCACTATGCAGCATCCTAATCCAGATCCACTGTTCTGCTACTCCATTTTCTTTTAGAAAAGAGAAGACCTCCTAAGAATATCAACTATTATTCTTACTAACTAGAACCTTGAAGCACAGCTAGGAGGATAAATGTACTTCAAAGGTGGGCTTGTGCTCTTCTACCAAAGCATGATATGACTAAGTAGTTCTGCAGATTGGAAATTAACATGCAAGTAAAACTGCCCCAAACTAAGAATTAATCAGAAAAGGAGCAGAAATAAGAATTTCTTGATTCCACACTTAAGGCTCTGACATTCCTGAACTGTCCTCTTTGTATACCAGATGATTCTCTGGCATTACACCACAGGTTCCACGTGTATTTCAAGAGAGCACATATCCTGCTCAGATGCTAAACATAGGTTTATCATGAAAAACCAACATTTACAGACACAAGACCTAGTCAAGCAGGGTCTAGTTAAGGAAAGCTCCCTCTGCCCCTCAAACAAGTGTTTTGAAAACCCACCTTTTACCATAGTAAGTAAACCTTACCGAAAATATCCAGGGAGCCTTATTTACAGTGAAGGAAGATAAAATAAAATTTGAAGCTCTACCTCCACCTAACTTTCTCTCCTAAATTTTTTCATTGCTCTTCTACGAAGCTAGAAATCCAAGAAACAACTTGTGTTCTGTTCTTAGCTCTCCTACTTGCAGGGATAAACACTGGCCCAAAGCATCTTGGGAGAAGAAATGATTTTCCTGCTTTGTACTTCCACATCATGCTCCCATCATCAGGGGAGACCAGGATAGTAGCTCAAGGCAGGAACCTGGAGGCAAGAACTGAGGCAGAGACCATGGAGAAATGCTACTTACTGGTTTGCCCTTTGTGTGTTGCTCAGCTTGCTATTTTATATAAACCAAGACCACTTGCCCAGGTGTGGCATTGTCCACAGTGGGTTAACCCTCTCACATCAATCATTAATCAAGAAAATGGCCTGCAGACATCCCCAAAGGACAACCTGATGAAGCCAATTTTTTTCAGCTGAGGTTTCCTTTTCCCAAGTGACTATAGTTGTGTCCAGTAGGCACATTAGGTGTGGGGTTTACATGTTGACTTAAAATTTAGAGAGAATTTCTGGAAGAGGACAAGATCATGGTCATGTGAGCACTGACTTGAAAGTATCAGCGCCTGAAGTAATGAAGCAAGTCTGCGTACTGTTGCCGGTGGTTGCAAAGAGTGGACGTAGTTTAGAAGATGCTATGATACATATAGAAACAAATAGTCCTGACAACTAGATGGCAGGGATAGAAAAGTGGCTGGAACCCAGGATGATTTCTAATTTCTCTTTCAGACAATTTACGGGTAATTGTGATCATCTCTGGTGAAGGAAGTACAAAGGAGTGATGGGGAAAAAAAAAAACCAGCAACTCTGACTTACTGCCCTGGTGGAGTGGAGAGGACAGGGTTTAAAAACTCACAGTTCTATGTTTCTTTTATTTTTGTTAGCACATAGAAAAGCATCATTATAAATAATAGCAATAATCACACATAGGTGATTATTAGAAGAGGTCCCAGGCAATTATCGGAGTGGGACCAGCATCAAGTAAAATTGTCAGGGTGTGTGGCACATATGCAAAATGACAAAGGGAGGTTTAGTTAATAAGTTTCCGACATACTTAAAAGCCTGCTTTGCCAGATCCGTTTCCGGCACCGAGGCTTTGTGCGCCAGCTAAATTAGACTCTTGAACTTAATATCCTTCAATTACCATCTTTCTTATCTCCACATCTTGTTTTTATTTTCTCTTCTTAGTATGTCTTTGCTTTTCACAATCCTATTTGGATTTTTTCTATTATATATCAAAATATAAGCCTTACTCTGATCCTCTTAATCAGAAATTACCTGGATCTGTATTTTCACAGTGTTGATGAATGATCAGCACAGTTTGCATCTTAGTTATTGCCAACCTCCTCTTGGTTTATGATACCGACTCCCTAACTCTCCCAAGCGCTGTTTCCTAACATGACCTGTGTCTCTCTCAGCTCACCCGCATTTCTCCTAGTGCCTTAGCATATAAGCATGTATGTTTGTATCTAATTTGCTAAGTGGATTTGAAATCAATCAGTACTAAAGAATAATGGACAGCATATAAGATGGCATTTCAAAATGATACCCTATAGTCTCCATTTATTTTTGCACCAATATGTAAACTGAGTAAAGCTCACTCTTTTAGAGACAAGTGCATGACACACAGGCTATAGGTTATAATTTAAATCTGTAAGAGAGACAATAGATATAGGGTAAGACATAATTATTACCACTTCAGAGGCATTCCTAATCAAAATACCGTTTCCACCCAAATCCTAATGAAAATGTGGAGTATATTTAAATTTTCACCTCTTTGTCATCTTTCCATGTGTAAGGATATCTGTGAGTTCAGAAGCCTGTTGGGTATTTGTGAGAAAGTGGTCTAATCTGATTATTGGGCTCTTGAGCAGGAACAGCGTGCTCTTGACTGATGTACTCATTCTTCGCTGTGGACAAAATTCTCAATAGAAAATAGAAGTTAAAGGAACATATTTACAGGAAAAGGTCCTGGGGCTCTCAGACTGCGTTAGAAGTTGACTTACTGGTCTATATCTTTCACAAACTATAGACGGTGTTTGCTCCTGCCCAGTGAAGTAATTTCTTCTTTACGTCACCACTGCAATTCTCATCTGTTTCCATATTTCACCTGGTTGGCGAATCTTAAGAAATAATAATAAATTATACCAATTACAAAGTCAGTGTTAAATTGTACCTTTCTACTGCTTGATACTCTAAAATATATTTCATGAACTGATAATTTTATTAATACTCATTTCACTTGGCTTTCCCCTCCTCCATGTTAAAATATAGATCTTTCTATCTTTCATATAACTGTTATAAGTTAAACTGTTTCACTCAACTTAAAATATTTTTTAAAGCCAGGAGATCTCATTTTAAGTTACAAAAATGTTCATAGGCACAATCAGAAAACTTTAATAGTGCTTTAAGGACAAGAGGCAGCTTGACAGAAGGGACAGTGGACCACGTACCTGCAAGTATGCCACAGGCATAATCTTCTGTGTCTATGCATTGGATTTAATGTGTACGGCAAAGATGTCATAGCTATGTTATCTTAAATCTTTGTTCCTTTCGTATTTTTCTAGGAGAAGGGGCAACCTTCGCAAGCCGAAGATGAGGTTCCCTTTCATGAACCGGTACACCCTTCTGCTCCTCCTTCTGGTGGTAAGTGACGATTATTCTGCTCCATGTTAATGAGCGTGCAGAGTAGGAAGGGGTGTCTGAGTGCGGGCCAACTGAGAACTGCAAGGAAACCAAAAAAAAGTTTCGCCAAGCTGTCATTTTTCTTCACATTCTGTTAGCAAATCTTCCCTTTGAACGTTTACTCATTTTAATTATTGTAGTAGTTTATCTAGACAATTGAGTTCCGTTTGTTTGGAAAGGTTAGTAATAATGTGTGCAATCCTCATAGTACAGAAAGGTGAGAATTTTCCTGGATAAGTTTTTTTTTTTTTTTACATGTTTTGAAATGTGAATTTGAATCATGGCTTCTGGGCTCTTCCATACTTTTAAAACGTCTAAACTCCATCAGTCTGGTGACTGATTTCCAGTGTATTCCGATGGACGCTAACGGTCTTCAGTAGATTAGGAGCCACTGGCACTCTGTAACCTTCATGCAGCCTTTTAGATCAGGTTCAAATTATATAACTTCATGTTGCTTTATTCATAAAGATTTAGCAAGGTAACACTTCTCATTAAATGTTTAAGAGAGTTGACAAACGCATATGCTTTTGGGAGCAATTGTGCCCCAAAAGCCAGTGAGCAGACCTGGACTAGATTCCAGAACAGACTCTAAGTTATCACAGCACTCCTAGAAGCCTCCACTAACCCAAAACTCATACCAAAGTAGGACTTACCTTGGCATAAAGTCATTTCATTTTCTTCTGTCTTTCATGTCCACATTCTGAACTATAACTTCTAGAATGTAAGCCCCACAAGGGCAGAAACCATGCTAGCAAGTTCACTGCTGAGTTTTCAGGACCTGGCATATGGAAGAGATTTAGAGTATTTATTTCAGAAAAGAGCTGGCGACGCCTCACCTGCTGACTGCTGCTGTGGCTGCTTGGTCGTCATGTGTGTGATGCCACTTTCTTAGATATTGAAGAATGACACCACATAGATGGCGGCTAAACTGCTACACGGAACAACAATTAAGATATAGGTAGGTAGGTTGGTGGGTTTGTTTTTGAAGACTCGTGTAATATGTCTCATTGTCACCTTTATCTAAGCATGGCATTATGTATTTGTGAAATCGCCCATAACAAAAGCACAATAGTGAAAAGTAGTCCAATTGCTTCTTGTCTTTCATATTGCTTGATTGTCTCATAATATCACTGCTGGCTTTATTTTTTAGGGTTGAAAAAAATAATACTATCTCATTAGCAATTTTATTTGCATGGAATTATCAGAAAAGTTCAATTAACAATGTAAAAATGTGTCTGTATGTGTTATTTTACACAGTACTAATTTCATGATTAGAAATATGTTATATATTTCTATCTGCATTTGTGTTCTATCTGCTTAGCTATTCATCCATCCATTGGTAAATGGAATATTCCAAGTGCATGTCATTTTTAGAAGGAAGTCATTGAGGTTCAGGAGCCACCGGAAACATTCCACCCTCCATGCTCAAGCAAGGACCAGACCAGGAGCAGCCCAGAATGCTGACAACAGAGGTTCTGAGTTCTTCATTCTTTCAGTGTTGAAACAATCTCTACTGAGCCAGGCTCCACACCAAGTTCACTGGAGTTTGTTTCAATATTGCAAGAATGGTAAGGATAAGCTTCTCCCATCAGCATAAGCATTCCCTCCCTCGCTCATGTTATCCCCACTCCCCCTGATGTTCCAATGTGTCAAACCTAATAAAGAGGCCACTGAAAACGCAAGTGTAGACTTTTTCTATTTAGCATCCTCACACAGAATATTTCCCCCAGGCTGCCATGAATTTCCAATTATTACACAAACATTTCTTAATGAGTTGCCAAATGTGGAAGGACGGAATTCAGAATTTGGTTCTGGAAAGACCAATACCGAAGGAAAATAATTCCTAATGTCTAAAGCTTTTGGCATAAAAGAAGAATATGTATCTATGTACACACACATACACATAATATGATGTTCCAGCTTCTAATTTAATAAGAAGACAATGAGCAGGTGGCACACAATTAAGCATATCAAGTGAGCCCCCAAAAGGTTTCCAAGCTAGATAAACAATGAACATCTTTCTCACATGCATGCTGTGATCTTCTCTTCTTTGCTGGTTCAGTCATATTAGTTTAGATTTTTTTTTATTAATTACACTTTATTCATTTTGTATCCCCCCATAAGCCCCTCCCTCCTCCCCTTCTGATCCCACCCTCCCTCCCCTTTCTGCATGCATGCCACTCCCCAAGTCCACTGATAGGGGAGGTTCTCCTCTCCTTTCTGATCTTAGTCTATCAGTTCTCATCAAAATTGGCTGCATTGTCCTCTACTGTGGCCTGGTAAGGCTGCTCCCCCCTCAGGGGGAGGTAATCAAAGAGCAGGCCAATCAGATTATGTCAGAGGCAGTCCCTCTTTCCAGTACTATGTAACCCACTTGGACACTGAACTGCCCTGAGCTACATCTGTGCAGGAGTTCTAGGTTATCTCCACGAATAGTCCTTGGTTGGAGTATGAGTCTCTGGGAAGTTCCCTGTGTTCAAATTATCTTGTTCTGTTGCTCTGCTTGTGGAGTTCCCGTCCCCTCCAGCTCTTACTATTTCCCACTTCTTACATAAAATTCCATTCACTCTGCCCATCAGTTGTCCATCAGGCTCAGCATCTGCTTTGACAGTCTATACTGCAGAGGCTTTCAGAGGCCCTCTGTGGCAGGTTTCAAGGTTGTTTCCTGTTTTCTTCTGGCTTTCAGAGGCCCTCTGTAGCGGGTTCAGAGGTTGTTTCCTATTTTCTTTTTCTTCTGATGTCCATCCTCTTTGCCTTTCAGGATGGGGATTGAACATTTTAGTTAGGGTCCTCTACAAACATAAGCAAGTCAGATATAAAAAGCAAACACAAGTAAGAAATCTCTTCAAAAACATTTAAGCTGAACAAACACACATTCTAACTCCTAATGGTCTATCCGAGAATGTCCTGATGGGGTGTCATTGCTCACAGTGTCTCATGTCATGAACATGCAGAGTGCTTGTGTTTCTTTGTAGACTGTAAGCTCCGTGGGAGCAGGGGTCACACCTGTTTGCTTCAGCACCTCATCCTCAGTCATGTTTGGCTTGTCAGTTTCAGGAAATATTTCTCACTGAAAATCAGTGAGAAATGAGTCGTGACAGAGAATTGCATTGGTGACACGGTTAAAGGGATTACATATTTTTAATTATTTCACTCAGATCGCCAATTTCACAAATTTAAAATAGTAAATAATCGATATTCCAACACTAGAGTCAACCTTGCTCACAGTAGGGGCCAATGTGGTGTTAGAATCGTAGTATCTATGGCCTTCATTCTAAATTGTTTCCACTCAGCTAACTTGTGGGCCTGTCTAAAACACAACTCACCTCCCCCTACAAACATTTTGACCCCATATCCACCTTCTCCAGGAATCCTCCTTTTTCAAGAATATTGACATTTAGTCAGTATTCCTCTCTGACCATCACTTTACCTCCATTCCTTATATTCAGATAGGCCTTCATCTCTCCATTATGTGAGAAAGTGTCGAGATCTGTGTTCTGTTTTTCGGTCATGGGGTGATCTGGCTCAGACATTCAGTTCCCAGCTGCCCTCCATGACTTTAAACTGTGGAATCTATGCAGCTGAGTGAACTTTACCAGCATTCTGCCTTCAAGGCATTGACTGATAAAAATATGCAAATTATTTTATCATCATATTTTGATTATATCAGATTAAATGTGTTGAGTTGGGCTTATTTTTTGTTTTTGTTTCATTTTGTTTTGTTTTGTTTGTCTTTCAAAAAACCCACAGTAGATGAGTCTTTCAACCCCTTTTGTCAGGATAGTTTCAGTGCAGTATTATGGCAGTCGCTGAACATTAGTGTATTATTCTCCTCCACTTTGCACAGCCTTTCTTCGCTACAAAATATCTTTTGATAACCAAGATCCCATTCAAATTCTTCTGTATACCTGTAACTTTCAGTAAATTTTTTGCCCCATATCCCTTTCCCTACTCTGAACTTCCTATGTTTTGTATTATATGGTTTTACATTGATGACGTTATTACGGGGGTCTTAAATGGTGGTAGACACAGGATCAGTGACATTTCACCATGGTGCTAGCCTGGGCTGTAAACATCAACCTAAGAAGGCGAATTATTTTAGAGACTTCAGGAAATTTTTTTTTAAAAGAACCAACTTGCGCCACAGATGCATGCAATGAGAACATTCTTAGAATAATTTAGATGTAATTAAACCAAGTAAACATACATTCAATGGATACTGTAGAGGGCCAGCAGCACGCCTGCCTTCATGCAAAGAAAGTGCATGCTGAAGTGTGAAAGTCTTCTAAAAAAAATTAGCTTTATTCAGAATGGGGGGTGGGGGCACCACGAAGCACATCACTCCCAGTACCAAGGAGCCCTATCTGGTTACAAGCTAGAGAAGATATTGTGGTGGTGATTACCGCACACAGGCACACATGTGCAAAGGCACAACATGTAAGAAGTGAAGACCTGTGATGGTGATTTAGTAGAAAAACCATGTCGGCCTGCTCTGAAACCTGGTGTACTGGTATAAATACTGAAGAATTGCGTTTGCTTTCCTCACTGAAAATGAGCTACCGTGTATAGGTCAAGAGCTAACGAAACCAGTCTGAACACCTTAAAGTCACTCTTGTATGTGTTCTAAGGGATAAAAAAAGGCAATTTTGGGCAGAGTACACAATCAAAACCGGAGCAAAACTTACCTGAAAACATCCGCTAAGGAAGCATAATTATTCTATAATTTTTATCTTTTAATATGTGAGCCATGATTCTTGGAAAAGTCGATTTAAGATGGAGATGTTTTGAAAAATCAAATTATTTGCATTGTCAGTGTGTAAGCTTTCTAAAGACAATAAACAAAAACAATAGGAGATAATCAACATGTGTGTGAACGTGCATGGTTGCTCTTCATTCTCAATAGCAAACGGATATTGGTAAAAATATAAATAGAATATGAATGTAAAATGGAATACGTTTTTTAGCACAAAATATCTTATGTGGAGTGCTACATAAATGTTGTTTATAAAAAGGAAAAGAAATGTTTTCGTGCTTTTTTAAATCATCACATTTAATTATGTGTCAATTCATTACCCACTCTGTAAGTAATTGATTTTACCTTTTTTGCAGAGCCCCAGCCCAGTTGTTCAGGCCCCTTCCAATCACACTGACTCCAGCCTCAATCACGAGCCATTCCTGTACCTGGTTGGACGCAAGAAGCTCGTAGATGCCCAGTACAGATGCTATGACCGAATGGAGCAGTTGCCTCCTTATGAGGGTGAAGGTAAGAGAAGCCATGTGAACCTGGACATCATTTAAGACTGTTTCTTCCCAAGGTGGAGATATATATATCTGACATCATTTTGCCTGACATTTGCCCTTACAACAAAATTAGCACAATAAGTCAGCATTCACACCTAATAAGCAAAAACAGTACAGGACTGAGTGATGGCAGGGAACTGGAAAGCGATGGACAGAGAGTCTGCCTGAGGCAGAACCTGTGCAGACCCTGTTGTTTGGATCAACTGGGCATATCTTTCCTTCAATGTCAATTCATTGACAAGCTCTGCTCTTTCTTCTCTCTCACTACCACATCCCCAATTCCATGGGGGAACTGCCTCAGTAAGCACTGTTAATCTGTGTTTTTCTGTAAAGTAATCTGTGTAACTACACAAATATTTTCAGGGCTAAGTGTAGTCTACTTGCTGTAGAAGTCCCAGAGAAAACTAAAAAGGAAGAATGCGTGACAGTCAAGCCTTGGCACAGCCTTTTAAATTCTCTTTCATGTCTTTGAAACATGCTAGAAGATTTGATGAGTTTTGTGTAATCCTGAACATTCTAAGAAAAGGCTATTTAGAAAGGTGGGAAATGATTAAATATACTCTATTCATATACACGGTTTGCTTTAAGTAATATTTAAACAAAAGGTTTATTAGATGCAACATACTTGTATGATTTATTAAATTAGACAATATCCTCATCCCTATGTGAATGGAGTTCAGAGTTGTGTGTCATGAATTTTGATAAATAATGCTCTAGCTGAATTTTTCTCCACTGTTAGGCAAATAATGCAGAAAAATATACCTCACCTTACATGAACTGTGTTACAATTTTAATTCAACTTTTTGGTTAAATACCTTTAACAATATAAAATTTCAATAAGTGAAAACTTATCCACATACCTCAGAGCCCATTTAATTAATCTCTGGGCTACCTTTAGGTTTCCTCCTCAATTAAATGGGTGGACAGAAATGCATTTCGGGGGGGTGCTTGCTTTACGAGAAGCTCAACCTGAGAACTTCTTACAAAGCTAAGCAAGGACCCTGCCTTTTATCCAGTGAGATATTTTTCCACAGATAGGCTGAAATCCTTTGAAAGATCATTTCAAAAATTAATGAGAATGGCTCATTTGAAATATGGTTAGTCTTGAGTGCAGTTGTAGGATCTGTCTCTCTGGTCTCTTCAGAAAGTGCTTTCTTTTAGTTAAACTACACGTTTCAACATAAGTTTCTTCTTTAATCCCCAGGTCCATTTTGCAACCGCACCTGGGATGGCTGGCTGTGCTGGGATGACACTCCAGCTGGGGTGATGTCCTACCAGCCATGCCCTGACTACTTTCCAGACTTTGACCCAGCAGGTAAGGCCTTTCATTGCGTTTTTATGTTTTGTTATCAATAAAAATATGTTAAATGAGTAAGTGGACCCAAATCCACTTCAGCTATGGAAGCTACATAGTGGTGTGTCACACTGAATATCACCTTTCACACTGCAAAGTATTTTCACACTTATTATCTCCTTTTACACTTACAATATTTGATACGAGATTGTGTGCCATCCCAACTCAATACATGATGTTGAGACCTCTCTATTTAGAATTAAGTATTATTTCTTAATTCTCATGCAAACTTGTACAAGGTAGAATAGATTCATAACTTTTAAGGGCAGATACGTGGCTCTTTCAGGCCTTGATCCTATCACGTACATATTGTTAGACGCCAACCTGGAATGCTCAAGCAAGTGACAGTCTAGAAGGATCAGATTCCAAGTGACATGCGATGGTGAATTTCTGGCATCACTTATTTTTAGATTGCCATGGATACACATGTGGAAGTCTGGAATAGAGGCAGTTCTCAGGGGTGGTGTGGAGGCATGTGTGTAAATTGTCACAGCCTCAGTCCAGAAACTAGACAGAGAGATGTGAGTAGAAAATGGGATTGGGTAAGTTGAACCTAACAAAAGGTTAAGAAAATTCTGGAATAGAAGTGATCAGGGCTTGGCAGGCTCATATAAACATACCGAACAGCTGTGCCTTAGGAAACAGAGCACGCCAGATGTGCCCGGTGAGACAGACGCCACAGGGCGAATGGTGGTACGCACTCACTACCGAAGCTGCCTAATCAGCTATGGAATAACCACACTCAGCCCCGCTAGAAGAAATCCAAAATTGTCCCATCAAATTAAATCTAAAAGATACAGAAAGGGGTGTATAAACTTTAATTAGTAAAGAGGTCCAGATGATGAAACTAAATAGGATCATCTAGAGACACACCACGTAAGTCTCTAGAAAAAGATTAAAAAAAAAAAAAAAAAAAAAAAAAAAAAAAAAAAAAACTTCCAGGAGTCAAATGATCTAACCTGGCCACAGATATTTGAGTGTCTCTGGAATTCTCTAAGAGCAGAGATGAGAGTCCTTCAGTGAGGCAATGTTTTGGAGACACTTTGGAGGCTTTCCTCAAGGGAAGACCTCACTCATCATTGAAGCCAAAGTCCTAATCCAGAAAAAAAAGAGATAACCAAAGTAGAATTAGAACTTTAAAGCCAATGCAACATAGAATAAAGGCGAGTGTTGGCCAGCCACTCCTAGAAATCTCATCCTGAAGTATATTCAGAAAGGGCGCTGGACAGTTCGCTACCTCTGAGCTACGTTCCTGTAAACTGGAATGAAAAGGCTACAGGAGACTTTTGAGGACTTTATTCTATCCTCCCAGCACAGGATGCTTCATTAATCTTGAACTGTTACTGCATTAAAGGTGGCTTGACTGGCACAAAAAAATGCTGTTCTACAATTGAGGCTAGTAAGCCGGCTTGAAAGTAGCAATGGACCTTTGCCAAAGCAGCTATAAATATTGACTAAAAGGCAAGGTTTTGATAAGCAAAGCAGAGATTTCTAGTCACAGATCCATCTTTTCAGTCTAGTTTTTAGATGGAACCATCTTAGCTAAGAGACAAATTCACTTTTAAAGAAAAGAACATCTTCAATACGTCTTTCTTCAACACATTTCAGCTCTTTATGATTTTATTGTAGACAGAAGGCTAAATCTTCACAACACGAAACTACTCCAATGAAATGGCAGAGGTTTTAATTTTGAAGAAGTGCTTGATAAAACACAGAGGGAGTGGGGCACTGAGAAATCGCAGTCAGCAAGATTGTGAAATCAGAAATGTCTGAGTTTGTTCCTACACATCCCCATAAAAAAAATCTGAGCACAGGGACACACCTTTAGGTTCCCATGCTGGAAAGACAGAGGCAGAAGGATTTATCCAAGCTGGCCAGATGGGTGAGTTAGGTTCACTGGTAGATACTTACTGAGAACAGAATGACTGGGGGACATCCCTAACCCATCTACCCCATACTCTAAGCACACCCGCGCATGCACGGGAACACATAAACACACATATACCGCACAAAAGTAAAGAGCGAAAGAGTGAATGTCAGCACTGGAGTTCTGAAGAGGATGTGGTGTACAGGAATATGCTACAGTGGAAACGGGAACATTTGCCAAGGAGGCATGTGAGGCCCTACACTTGGCTTCACTCAATCAGCGTTAAATGTCAAAGTGGCGAGATAGTCCGTGTTATCTCTACGTTCGGGTTCTATAACGTGATTCACTCTAGGGAATAGCTTTTAAGCTTTAAGCTATTTCCTCTCTTCTTGGGATTCGAGAGACTCATACATTACCATTCTGTTCCATTAACAGAAAAGGTTTCAAAATACTGTGATGAAAACGGAGAATGGTTTAGACACCCTGACAGCAACCGAACCTGGTCCAACTACACTCTGTGCAACGCGTTCACTCCTGACAAACTGCATGTAAGTTCTAGTTCAGATTTCAGTATCATATGAGAATGCTGCTATTGGTTCATGGGAATGGATGTAAAACTGCAAAATAGCTGCTTTCACAAATCACAAAGACAAACAGGTTTTTGTGTAAGGATATGAGCCTCTCTAGTTGTCAGGGGTCAGAAATATCTGGAAGTGTTACCAAGCTATACATCAGTGTGTCAGACACGCTGAAGCCTGCTTGGCTTGCTTACTGCAATCAGGAACAATAAATTAAAGCATTTAAAATGACCTCTGCAATATACTGAAAGACCCGTCTCAAGGAGTTCGGTTCTTTGAAAAGTGGCTCAGTTTATTTCTATATGTACCACTAATTAGAAAAAAAATAACTCCATTCACTGAAACAGTTGTTATAATTTTAAGATACATTTTCAAGGAGTAAACATTTATGAATTTAGACTTACGTTTAGAAGGGGAAACTATTGGTCCAGATAATCACTGGTCATCTACTTAAGAGAATTTTTTTCCAACTCTTTCTCTTGTAGAATGCGTATGTCCTGTACTACCTGGCTCTTGTGGGTCACTCTTTGTCGATCGCTGCTTTGGTTAGTTCCATGGGGATCTTCATGTTTTTCAAGTAAGCATATTTAAAATACCATTTCTTTTTCAATCTAAGGTCAGCTTTATTTAGTATCTTGTTCCCAGAAAGACAATATCACAAGAAAAGTTCTTGAAGTACAATTCTCCACTTATTTTTATTATTGTTGATTATCATCATCATCGTCATCTTCTTCTTCAGTTTGCATAAATAACAGTAAATCTTGAAAGAGTGAGGCATACTTAGCTCATGCCATTGTACATGATAACTGAGCAAGAAAAGTAAAATGAGCTAAATATAATCTCAACTATACTTGAGAAGAACAAGATGGATTTCTTATCATCTTCAAATGCAGCTGCCAAATTATGAGTTGTGTAATAAGCAAATTTAACTAGAACAGGAGTGGGGCTGGTGAAGCCCTGAGAACATCCCATAGAAAAGGAAGGGTAAATCCTTTTTAGATGACTGTATATAGGAATCTTTTAAATCGCTATATCTTTTAATCATAAACTCTTGCCCCTGGAGTAAAATGCTTACCATCAAAGTATGGGGACCTGAGTACAGATTCCAAGCAGCCATGTAAAAAGCTAATCACAGCTTGTTTGTAACCCCAGCACTGGGGAATCAGTAAAGAAAGATGGGTCCTAAGGCCTCAATGTCCAGCCAACCTAGTTGAAATGGTAAGCTCCAAGCTCAGTGAGCAATCATGTCTCAAAACATAAAGAACAGTACAAGTCGCCAGTGTTGACATCTGTTTGGTCTCCACACACAAGAATATATTCACACATACATCAAATAAAAATAAGTTAGAAACGTTATATACAAAATGAATCTTCCTCAAAATAAAGCTCCCAAGTTTATGCCTCAGTAGCTATTACAATTGTGTATGTACAACTATAAATTTAAAGTAAGCCACATATATATTCTTTAGAGAGACACCACAGTTAAGTAAATATTTTAGAAACTGAAAAAAAATATACAAGCAGGAATAATCTGACAGATTAGTGGCTGACACAAAATAAATGCAATGTGAGTGTTTGAGATAATTATTATTGCTATCATAGTCGTTACTGTTGGTACTAATAATGATTGTGGAATGATACAAATTATGAAGAGCTTTCTTGACTTCCAAGTTCAAATAATTCTTTATGCTTAAAGGATGGATGTAATTAAATATATAGTGACACATAGGTAGACTAAAAAATCCTAATTTAATTTTCATTAAAATATTTCCTTGATAATATTAAAAGTAATTAAGCCAGGTGGAGACTAATCACCTATAAACACATCTTTGCACAAAGACTACTTTTCCTTGATCCTTTTTAAATCTTCATCTGTATCACACTTACAAATCTTATTATTTATTATTACACCTAAGCAATTTTTAGTGAATAGTAAATGACATAAGCAAATCATCAATAAGCTCATTCCATAAAAGGTTTAACAGAAGAAAGCCTGATAAAGCAACAAGACATAGAGAATTAATTACTAGAATTAGGAGAGTATTTTCAATTATAATGATCAGAACACAGCAGAGTAATCACATTACATGATTAATTTTGGAATGTCTTCATTTCTCAATTGCTCTTCACCATTGTAAATAAATAAATCATCATGGCTCACAACAGCTTTGATTAAAAGGCATGATGCTAAAAGACTTACCTTTGAGTTCTTTAAAAAAAAAAAAAAACAAGAACACAAGAAAAGTGAAAGAATGAAAACTCTCCAAAACTCTAATCACATTAAAATAATAAAATAATTAAAATGTACCCTTGACTCAAAGGTAAGTGGCAGAGCCATAATCTGATTTCTTATTTCTCTAGTCAATTAAATATTTGATAAGGTATGAGAGTCAAATAAAAAAAAAAGAAAATAAGAATGTTCTTGGAACTGTCGTTTCTTTATTAAGCTACTCAAGATGAGTGTCTATAAATTCAGCACATGGGCAAAGATGAACTATTCCTCAACCCAGCTAGTCCCAAAGAAAAATGACTCTTGCCATGCCCTTCACACAGCACCAGACACGGCTTCTAGAAAGGCCTGAATGTGGTCCACTACCTCTCAGTCCCCAAGACTGCCAAATAGCAACTTAAACTTAGGAAGGAGAAACATCTAACTGATTTATAATCTGAACCTAATAATGAGAAGACACAGCTGAAGCACCTGGCTCTCTAGGAAAACAACAAGAAGAGATAGTAACACACAAAGGGTACAAGGGCTGTGTTGCCAAAGATCCATACCCCAAAGCAGTCAGCTATGATTTTTATTCTCGTTTTCAAACGTTTCATTAAAGGACCTAAACCAAAAACTATTTAGGGACATTTGTTTTCTTAAGATTAAGAAGAGAAGGTGCTTCAGTCGGGATATATAATAAATAAATTTGTGGAAAAAAATGAAATAAAAAAGAAAATAATGTTAATAATGTTCTAATATTTTCTTATATTTAAACATGAAAGAGTTTTTGAAAGTAAAGAAAATGCTCACCTATCACTGGAATTTGTATTTTAACTAGAAAAAACTTCCCAGCATTTTTCAGACAATTCACTTGTAAGATCCCTAGTGTACATTACAATGGAAAATTTCATGACATGTGCACTTAGATTGCATCATTAATGTGGAACCTGTGCAAAAAAAAAAAAAAAAAATCGCCATCAGTCTCTTGCTTAATTCTGTGTTCTTAGGGTTATTTTGCAAAATTCAGTCAGTCGATCTCATAAAACTTTTCTAAAACCAAAATAAGAAGTTATGCAGTTCAGTATGTTTATTCTGAATTATATGGCTAATATCACTTATAAGTGAGTATATGCCATGAGTGTCTTTCTGCTTCTGGGTTACCTCACTTAGGATGGTCTTTTCTAGTTCCCACCATTTGTCTGCAAATTTCATGATAAGGTGACCTTACTAGACCACAGAGAAAGAGGATCCAGGCAGTCCTGATGAGACCTGATAGCCTAGGGTCAGATAGAAAGGGAAGAGGACCTCCCCTATCAGTGGACTAGGGGAGGGATATAGCAGGCAAAAAGGGAGGGAGGGACCAGGAGGAGATGAGAAAAGGGGCTACAGTTAGGATACAAAATAAATAAATTGTAATTAAAAAACACAATAACATGAAGTAAATGAGGGTGTACTGCTAATCAATGAAGTTGTGTGAGATTAGGAATGTTTCTGTTATCTTCCTCGCAGGAACCTTGGCTGCCAAAGGGTGACTCTGCATAAGAACATGTTCCTTACTTACATTCTGAACTCTATCATTATCATCATCCACCTGGTTGAGGTCGTGCCCAATGGAGATCTGGTGCGACGGGACCCGGTAAGCATTATCTGGCTTGCTTTTAATTCTACTGTAGAAGTAGGGAACTAATTGTTGAGTAGTCAGTTGCTCAATGCATAATAATATTTACTTCTAGAGTTGATTTTTGCATTAAGAAAGCCTGTTAGTGGCTCTTGAAGATAACTGTGACATGTGAAAGAAGTGTGAACTGTTGACATAGATAAATGAGAATTAGGCAATAAATCATATGCTTTGTGGCTATCCAATAATTTATCAGAACAGTGCTTCCCAATAAACCCCAGTTTGCCACTGACTATTACAGATGGGCCAAGCTAGAAATTATTTCAATGGTATGCTGCTAGCGTAGTCTTTTGTTATAGTCACATCAGCTATAAGCACTTGTGCATTTACACAAATGAATCCTACAAATATGGTCAAGTTCTATGTCTGTATGCTCTGAAAAGGATCCATCCTGACCTAAGGAAATACAGAGAATTTAAGGTCAACCAGACAGACATTCATGAAATTCATGCCATATGCATCATCCTTCTATGCATTACTGAGAAGAACCAAATTCATTTGGCTCTATCACCAAGAACTACCATGGATTCCTTTTGTCAAAATTGACCTGAGGTCTGCTTACAGTAATTCACACTTGTCTTCAACTTTCTTTCTTTTCCTCTAAGACTTTTCTTCTCCTAATAGTTTCTGGATGTGGCTACACTTTAGCCAACTGGGTAAATATAAAGATGGTCTAGTTGCTATACGCATGATGCTGAAGTCCAGTTGCTATAGAGTCAATTCAAAAGCAACAGTTGAATGATGTGATTATTACCTTGCCTATGAAATTGCCAATATTTGATCCTTTCTGTTCTGAAACATTGACAGATGCATATATTTCATCATAACACACATATGTGGACAATGCAGTGGGAACTGTCACCACCCCTACCCCTGAGTGCAAAGGAGGGAAAGCTGCACCCTCATGACAGTGAAGTGGTATGATGAGGATCGGACTTCAGAAACTCGGGACTTCTGTCTCCAGACGCAGCCAGCCTGGGACAAACCTACAGGGGGTGGTGGGGGTGGGGGGGTTGCTTTGTCCTAATTCATTCTCATCTACTGGTTTGTGTAGAGGGTCCCATTAACTGAGCTGAGTCCAGAAGGTGGAGATCAAGGAAGCCTAAGTAGCTCTAGACAGATGTGTGTATGTGCCCAGGTCAGTGGGAATGGGGAGGAGATGGAACCTAGAACCAGGAACTGCAGCTATCTAGCACATAGGACTAGCCATGGCATATTTTAACTTTTGTTTCTCTGCTTAACTGTATTATGCAAGCATCTGTAGATAGCCTCATCTTTCAAATCTGGCATTTGACAGTTCTGCCAACCCAATAACAAAAATGCGTGAAATCTGCCCAGAGCATGCATCCTGCATAACAGTGGCATAGCATGGGAAAGAAGCTTAATTTGGCTTCTAATGCAATCCACGGTGTTAATCATTTTTACCATTTGAAAATATTCATGAAATCATTACGATTCTTCTTTAAAATCCATGGCATCTACTAATGGACACAAAGTCTTGTCTTACCTGAAGAAGTATGTAACCAAATGAGTTTTCCTTGGTGGCATTTCTTTTTAAATGCCAACTTATTGAAATAAAATTGATCTCATTTAAATATTTAATGCTATCACCATCCCCAGTGAGAAGTGGATAGTATCCTATTTTTAAAGTTAGGAAACTACACTTCTGTGGAGGCAAATTTCTTTCCTATTTTGAATACTTGGAGATAGGACTCAAAGATAGCCCAATCTCATTCAATCCTATCTCTCTTTTCTGTACTCTTGATAGTCTCCTACTTCCTTATGTTCTTGAAAAAAACAACTGTCTCATCCATTACAATGATTCTCTGTAATTAGCCATCGAAGTACAAGCAATGCGCTAAGCGTCTTTCAGGATTGTTGGAGTTTTGGCTTTTTCATTTCCCATTAAAGGGTGGCACTTCACTTCCTGAATAATCAGCCACACTGACCTGGGATTGGTGCTCAGTCGCATTGCAGAGTACTTATGCTCACAAATAGATTTTCTCCCATCTGCCCAGCTGGCTCTCCTGCTGTTACAAGCAGAAACAGTCCTCACGGTCTGTGAGATCTTGCTGACCTTGTTATCATCTTGAAACTAAAAAATCAGATTCTACACCCCATTACCAAGTTTACTACTAAATTGTAGAAACTTGCGCAAACATATCCATCAAATGAGAATTAAAACAACCAAAAAACAAAACAAAGCAAAACAAAAACCCCACCCACTCTGCTTGGTTTTAAGGATTTCTCCTAAAATTCAAAAGAAGAGTAACATTTTTAGGATCCCCAAGCGCATAATACCGTACGCACACAAGGTTTCTGCTAACTGTTACCTTGTGGCTAAGTCCTTGCATCTCTGTGTTTGGCGTTTCCAATGAATTTATCACACAGCTTCTTATTCATAATAGTCTCATTAGCTATCTTTGCTAAATGCTTTCACTTTCATAAGATGTTTTAGTGAAAGACACGCCAAGGCACTTTTCCAGTCAAACTGTTCTTAGCCATCACTGAATCATCCTATATCTATCCTGTGCTTCCTCCATTGCCTGGAAACTTTATAGAAGCTGGTGAGCAGATGTCTGGAAGGCTGGCTTGGCCCATTGAGCTGCTGACTTCCTGGGAAAATGTCAGTGAGATCTTAGGAAATAAGCAGAAAGCTTTTCTCTGGTGCGCAGGAATGATGATGATTCTCTCACGTACATTAGAGCAAAAGGAATAAAGTTTATCCTTATGGCATAAAAGACAAAAAGCTGGTTCTCCCAATCAGTACATTTTTAACCCAAAAAACTCATAATTTTATATATATAATAAAAGCAAACTTCCTGAAGAAAAACTATGGAACGCTGAAACAAAGAATTCTAGCCAGTCAACTTAGCATTACCGAGCTAATTTAGTCCTTTGTCTGAACAGAACTGATACTATCAGGCAACATGACTTGATGCCATTATCCTCACTGTCCCTCCGGATGAGCCAAGGCTCTCACAGTACCCTGTGTTCTGCAACCACAAGTTTGAGAGTTCAAAATAGGATATTTTGGCCTATTTTGAAATGTGGCTGCTTTTATCATGAAAAACAAAATAACACAAATCTGTATATATATATATATATATTTCTCTATGTGTCTAAAATTGAAAGTTCTCTTTTGCCTGAGCCTAGACAAAATGAGAATGGGCTGCCAGTATCAGCTCGATTACTTGGCAAATAAGTGATGTTATAACGTGTTCTCTTTCACAATTCACAAAGTTTCATCCCTGAGAGAAAGTATGAAAACCCAAACCTCTCACCGAATCATTTAAATAGGATAGGCTAAAAGTAAGTGATTACAATTCTAAAAGTAAATTCGTGCTTGTAAACCACTCAGCCCCCCTTCTCAAAGAAGAAAGAAATGAAGGGATTTTGCTTCAGGTACATTCTGTATTTGAAGAGTTGCAGCTTTCCAACGAGAATTGGTTAAATCTGCCCCTTCATAAATAAGGGGCGTAGGACTACTCACTCCGGGGAAGCAAAATTGCTTCAGGAGTTTTCTTAAGCAGACACATTTCAAATGTTTCTGTTCCTTGAAGCAATTACATCTGTGGAAGATACAAGGTGGAATTCGTTTTCTCTCACATTGCAAGTGTATAGTCTATCTATCACAAGTGCACTTCTGAAAGCCCAATTGCTTAAGTGTCTTTTCCCATCCAGAACATTATTCCTGTGGATTATAGTAGATCCTGTCATTTACATATGAAGAAAGAAGACATTTTCCTTATTGCCATAGAACTGGGTACAGGGAATAGACAACAACAAGGAAAACTCAACCAGTTTTCCCAAGCTCCATCTCTCTTGGGAGGAATGTTCTCCTGATTGATGAGAACAGCCAAACCAGCAACTAAAGGCTAAGAACCATGTTCTCAGTCCTGCTAAGTCATATGCAGAATCATGCATTAAAAGTTACTTTAAGGTAGTAATTTGAAACCTCTCTCCTAAAAACAAAAACAAAAACAAACAAACAAACAAAACCCAGCAATCTAAATAGTATGATATCAAGGTTCTGCCTCACTATAAAAAAACAGACAAAAAAGAAAAAAAAAACACATAAATAAATAAATAAATAAATAAATAAATAAATAAATAAATGATAAATAAGTAGAAAATACAACAGAAAAAATCCTTTTGGAAACAAAATGTTTTGACATTGTCGGTCTATAAATATTTATGGAACCATAGTGTGAACAATATAGCCATAGTCATAAACTGAAGAAAAGCTAATTCGCCAGCACACTTTCCATTTCTGAATGTCATAGAGACATCTGTCTCCTCTCAAGGAAAACATAATATTTAATTTTCAGTGACATTTTTCTCTCCTAAGTAAACTAAAACAGAGAAGGGATATGTTTGTCCAATTCAAGCCACTGAATCAATACCCAAGAGGCACACAAGTTTTTCTATCCACTAACTAAGGGAATATGTTAAAAAGAAAATATTTCATTCCTGATGAGAGAGGCCATGTCATCTCGTTCGTAGCAAATATGGCTGAGCCACTCCTATACAAGCTTTTGTTTACTTGTGATGGAAAGGACATGGAACATCCCACTCAACAGAGGTGAACCTCTGTGGCTCTGTGTTCCCTTCTCCATCAAGGTCCTCACTCCCTGCCTCCAAAGTTTTTGATAGGTTTATTCTTACCTGTATTACTCAAGATAAGAATCTTATTCCTTCACCTTCTTCTATTTTGTTTTTGTTTTTCAAATTAAATTCAAAATAACTCATGCCATAAATAAGGGCTGAATAGATCCTCAGTTTACTGAGTGATGTGAAAATTGCCCGTTATCATTAAGCATTTCATTTCCATAATATCCCAATTTTCACTTTCCTTTTCTATCTGTTCATTCGATGGTCTCCGTGTAGAGTCCGGAGGCAGATGTAGAAGCATTGTTCTTGCTGCATCTAAACAAAGCTGCCAGGGTACTTGCCATTTTCTAGCAATGTCTGTCTGAACTTTCTCTCTGGCTCTGAAAGGGACAAGATGGGAAGACTGGTTTTTACTGGGAACCTGAGCACTCAGCACCTCAAAAGCTGAGACAGATGACGGTTTTTATGGCGTCTTTCCTAAGTAAAGACGAAGGCATCCCAAGCTCAAAAATGGCATGATTTTCTTCTATCTCTAACTTGTCTGTGTCAATTGACCCACCAGACAAGACCAGAGCATCATTCTAGGAGGTTACAGAAAGCTCAACTTGAAAGGGTACCGGACACTGGGGATTGTGCAGTCCACGGTAGAAATGACTGCTCCTGCCCAGTCAAAACAACATGAGACTGATGACTGAGATAAAAGGCTGGAGAGGAAAGTCACAGTGGGGTGAACTAACGGGGTTGCCGGTTAAAATAGCCTGTAGGGGAAACAGACTGGAAATAAACATGTGTGATGGATTTGCCGGGGCGATATAGGAAATAATGGCATGATATGGTCCTGTAATGGGTAGCCTACTCTGGCCTACTATTCTTCATTTTACTTAAATTTGTGGAGAAAAATATTTCCTTAAAATTTGGTTTATGCTTAGCCACTCATTATAATCATCATACAATGCTACAGATTATATGTCTGATTTAGAAGAAAATAGAGATGGCTGAGCAGCTCCTCTGTTGCATAATGTTAGAACAGGGGCAATTACAGTGCTCTAAAAGTAAAAGGTATTCTCAGAAAAGTGAGGAGCAGAGGCTCCATGAATATATATGTTTAGGTCTCAGGAATCTAAGGGTATGATTAAATCTAAACAACTCAACTGAGATTTAAGTTGCCAATAGTCTGACTAGAGATGTGTACTTTGGGTTTAACGTGCCTATTCAAACAAAATAAGAAAACTTCACAGGAATATAACAGAATCTAGACTCCATACCAGAGAGTCTACAACATCCCAATGTTGATGGTATCTAGAAATAGTTCAAAAGCACCAGATATCAAAAAAAAAGAAAGAAAGAAAGAAAGAAAAAAAGAAAGTATGACCTGTTGTTAAGAGAAAAAACAGCCTTGTTTTGCGGCTCATTCCTCTACTCCCAACACCCAGGTAGTTGGCACAGAAAAGTTGCCATGGGTGTTAGGCCTGCCTGAGCTACAAGAAAAGAAAACATAGAATAAGATCAAATGTTAGTTAACCCAGATGTTAAAATTATCAAACTATATAGTAGTCATTATAACTATACTAAGAGTTGTGATTGAATGGAAATTCAAGAAATATTAACCACAAAGTTGAAATTAAGAAAAATGAACAACCTGGAAATTCTAGAGCCAAAAAGTAGAGTGACTGAAATTTAAATATATTACATTAGATTAGCTTATTTACAGGATGGAGACCAAAAAAAAGAAAAAAAAATCCGGCAAAATCAGTGGTTAGCCAAGAATAACTCCCCAATTTGAAGAAGATACAAAAAATACCATGGGAGATGAACAGTCTCAAGAACATGTAGGCCAAATACATAAAAATTTAAAATACAGATATCATAAATACCATGAAGAGACATCGAAGAACTGACTGGAAACAATGTGAAGCTGAAAATACCAAAAATGTCTCAAATTTTATGAAAGATAAAGTCATTTTGTCTTAACCAAACTCCATGAACAAGGAATTCATATTATTAGGTAAAAATGATCATAATTCTACTCTAATTTCAGAAGATACCAACAAGTGAAAATATCCATGACTAATTTATCTATATCAATAAATCTATGCATCTAACAGGGAAAACCAGAGCATTCTAAATTAAGTTCAAGACACCTTTATCAACTTCATCATGAATATGTTAAACTGTCAATTTGAAACCTGAAAATTTTTTTATGGAAAAACAAGGCATAGTGAAACAATAGAATACTTTTACTTAGTAAAGAAAACTTTGTTAATGGTAGTTAAGTATTGACTACTGAAGAGTTTCTGCGTGCATCTAATGGAACCTACTAATACACCAGTTTAAAAAAAAAATGTGCAAAGTAAAACAGCTCTTTTAGCAGTGACACAGGAGAAAAGCAACAAGGTTTATTTGGGTACTTTATTTAGGGGGTGCCATCTTCAAAAGATACCCTTTCTGACACTTAGAAAAACATGACAAAGACCCAAAATGCAACTGACATTAAAAAAAAAAATCCATTTAGGTGAGTTTAGTCCAACATTTTACATTTTCTATGGATGTCAGCAGCCTGTTCCCTTCAGATATGTTTTGATTTCTACAAATATTGCCAAGAATTTCAGAACTATTTAATTACAATAAAAGGCCCTGCAAATTGTGTCCACTCTTGAATAAGCAATTCTCATTTACATACTAAATAATGATATTAATTAAGGGTTGAAACACTCAATTGAGCAACGTTATGAGCCACACACAAAGCCATATTCATTTAAATTGAATAAGCACCTGTTACTCACCTCTCTCAATATTGCCGAATGCAAGTCCTTTGGAGGGTAGTGGAAGAACCAGATGTAAAAAGATGCGGTCGTTACGCACGCAACAGTCGCTGTAGGTTTACTCAATGTGGAACCTAGATGTTAAAATTCATCACGTTTTTAAATTAACCTAAAAACTGAATCAACGCAGATCACAGATCAAAGTGTCTTTTCACACATCAAGATAAATGTTTAGAAATGGATTTATTGATTCATCTTCCCTTGATCAAGTAAACAAAGCTTCCCACTCCTGTTTTTGTGTTAAAGTGAACGGGTGAGAAAACAGAAGCCCCACGAAAATGTAAACAAACATGCTGAATCATTGGTGATCACTCCAATGAGCAACAAAGCTTATTGCCCTTTTAAAACAAGACTTGGCAGAAGTAAAATTGGAAACTAGTTCAGGGGAAAGCATTTTGGAGTTAGCATGGTAGCCCACTTCAAACTGATTTTGAATTTTTGGGTTTTTTGTTTTTTGTTTTTGGTAAGCAATGTACTTTTAAATGTTTGCCATATTTCCTAAAGAACTTATTTGTCCCTTGATAACTAAACAAATAGAAGAGAGATTCTTTGCATTTGCTCCATTTTGCTTCAATATTTTCCTAAGAATTTGAGAAGTAAATTTATAGCCAGCCTCCTCCTTTAGTACAAAACAGTGTGCATTGAAGCCTTCCCCTCTCCCCTCAAAAGCAGAAAGGCTAGCATGTGAGCAGAGAGTTTTACGGTACCCAGCAAAGTACTCCACTCCTTGCTGGTTGTCCACAAACTGAGGAGAGAATTTAGTCTTCTTAAAACAAGCCCCTCTAGTTGGCTTCATTGATTCTTCGAAATGCCAGACTTTGTTATGTATCTGAGAAAACAATTGTTAAAATAATAGTGTAGTCAGATTAACTGAAAAAATACATATTTAGAGAAATCATTGTGCATGGGTACATTTATCTGTTTACCTGTCTGTCTTGCCACCAAAAGGCCACTCCCTTGATCATAAGCATTGAACTCTTCAAGAATAGATCTTTAAGGAATATATGGCTATTGTTTTTAATTCTCCCTTGATAAATTTGTTTTAAGGCATAACAAAAAAGCCTTGATATGCTTGCAAAAGAAAGAAAGTGTCAAGGACATTTCTTTTAAGTAGCTGATATTGTGCTGTGTGCCAAGAATTCAATATTGATGAATCAATAATATATATATGTATATCTATACATATATATATATATATCTAATAAGGTGTCTGTACATAAAACACATCAAACAAAAGCTATGTATTGATTAATTGATGAAAATGTTGTGATCAGGGCCTCAAACAACCCTCACCTTGTATTATACACAGACATATTGATTACTACTGTTAATTCAGTTTTTATAATGATGTCTCTGAATGTAACTACAAAGAATGATGAGAATGAGCTTGGCTAAAAATAAAACCTCACCTACTCTGGATCACGTAGGCAAAGGCCATCATCTCCACATACTTATCCCTTCCTCCCACAAGAGAAAACCACGAGAGCCTCTAGAAATCCAGAGGAAGCTGGGATTTCAAAGAGTAATCTTGAAAAGGAATCCAAAATCTCAACTGAATTTCTCATTTTACTGATGTTTGGGTGTCTTGGAACCATCATAGAAAGTAGTTAACTTAGCAAGTACAAAACTGATGTCCCAGGCAATCAATCAATCCTGATAAGGAAGATAATTAAAGAAATGGCTGCAGTACTGCTGTATCCCAGTTCTTTTCCAAGCCAAACATATATTGCTTTAGGTATCCTGATGTTGTGGATTTTTCTACATTTCTATTTCCACCTGTCAGAACCAGAAGTTGATTCTACCTTTGAAAGCAAAATAGCTACCTTTTCATGAGCCAAGCTGGCTTTCTCCTATGAATCCTAAGGGGGAAAGAAGCATACCAGAATACATTGGCTCAACATATTGTTCCCACTAAATGAATTACGACTCTTATGCATTCAGGAGAAACGTACAAGTCCAGAGAGGTGCTTTGGACGGAAAGTCACTTTGTTACATTGCTTTATGAAAGGAAAATTGAAATCCAGCTAGGCTCAAAGCAACCCCTAGGAGCAACCTAACAAAATCACTTGGTAAGATAATTGTCGTATAGACAACCACTTGCCATTTTCTAAAATCAGAATGCTGAGTTTTGTCGTCATTGCCTTGTGGTTGTCACCTGCATTTAAAGCAAGATGTCCCAAGAAAACGGATTCTTAACCCAAGAGACATTCTGCTCCAAAGATAACATGTGGATACATCTGGAGATAATTTCCATTATTGTGAGCGAGCGAAGGGTGCTACAGACATTTCCTAGATAAAAGGCGAAAATCCTGGTAACTGCCCACAAGTTTAGGCTAACAGCAAGTTTTCTAACCCAAAATATCAGGATGGAAATGCCTACTCCAGAATGACTAGGGAATGATGCTTTTGCAGTTTGTGGTGTCCTCATGTTGGTGATCAAGAGATACATAATTAACTCTACACTGGCATGGTTCCAGCGCCATTGAGGACACAGTCCCAGAGAGGTTTTGACAAACACTTGGTTCCTAATACAGAAAACAGGACTCCATATGAAACAGAACCTGGGATCACCATGGGCTCCTGGTCCCTACAAAAGAACTTTCTCCCCTGGTGGTCTCCTCTTTATGGGTAAGAAGGCAATTAAACCAATTCGCTTCAGAGGCAGCACTTACTATGTTGAGGGGGTTTTGCCTCATGGAACACAGGAGGAGGAAAGACTACAGAAGTCGTGTACAAAGCCTTGGATCATCTTTAAAACTGTTAGTCTCAGACACCTTGTAGGAAACCGAATTGCCCTAGTCTAGGTAAGTCTCCAGAATTTGATGGAGAAAAGAATATTTTGTGGCCTCAGCTTTCAGAGCCTATGTGGCTATTTACATACAATGCTTATGACCTCCACACTGTCCCTTTGATTTGTAAACGTAGAGAGCACGTGTTGACAAATACTCAGGGTAATTCTTGAGAGTTCAATGCAAGTATGTTGGCTCATAATTGTACTCCTCCCTTTACAAGCAGATCTCCACTGCCCTCCACTAAGGGGTTTCACTTCTCCCTAACAGATAAGTTGCAAGATTCTGCACTTCTTCCATCAGTACATGATGGCTTGCAACTATTTCTGGATGCTCTGTGAAGGGATCTACCTTCACACTCTCATCGTTGTGGCTGTGTTTACTGAGGAGCAACGCCTGCGCTGGTACTATCTTCTCGGCTGGGGTATGTATTTCATACAATTGGGTTTTGCACTCCATTTACCCATTTGCATATTTATACCCTTCTCCCCATCTTGATTTCAGAAAACACAGTCAGAATTCCAGTCTTTGGCAGCTTTTCCCTCACATGTTCCTTTCAAATCTAGTTTACCTATTTTAGATGAAACACAATTGATGAATCTTCTTTGTACGAGTGTCAAAAGTATCTATCTGTAAAACTCAGAAAAGATTCCATGAAAACAGAGCTAGCTATAAATGTATTCTCACCTATGGCATTCAGTTGAGAGAAGAGTACCTTGGAAGGAACATTTATACTTTTCTTTCCATACTGGTGTATTGCAAAGTACTTATAAAGCTGGTTGTCATCTTTGTATACAACTCAATATAGATCTCTGTTTAGCACATGAACAATACAGAAGGGAAAAATGAGTTGTTCTCCTGTATTAAAAGGGAAGGGATGATAACAAAATGCTTATTTAATACTTCAACCTTCCTTGATCAGCAAATATTCAGAACTTCATTAGCATGATCCAAATAGGGTGATAAAGACTATGACATTCATAGTAACCACAGAACTGCTAACCAGGGCTAACTAATGCAGTAGATCTCTTGTTCAGTATTCTAACCACAGAAAGAAAGAAAGTGTCAAAAGGGAGGATTTGTTCCTTATAGGTAGGTATTTGGGAAGACAGAAAGTCAGCCAGAGTATAACAGTGCAGTGTTGGGACATACCAAAATCTGTTCACTTCTACCTAACATACACAGAGAGAAAGGAGAGAGAGAAAGAGAGAGAGACAGATAGACACAAAGAAAGAGATAGAGAAAGAGACAGAGAGGGAGAGAAAAGAAAAGAACTAAAATCTACCACATCCCTTACTATTCAAAAAGAGAGTGGCACGTTTTAAAGCGATAGCCTTGGCTTAGAACTTGAAGTAGCATTGTCTTTGTGCGGGAGGAACACAAAGGTAAGCCCAAACAACTTCTCAACATTTCACTGGAATGTTAAAAGATGTAAGGTAACAGAGAAAACTTTCTGCTGGCACTATACGGTTCTCTTTTGAAAATACTGAAACAGTAGCATAGGTTCTAGACTTTACAATATCAATAAAATAATGCACCACAAGATTATTTTGAAAATAATCTTCAAATTTGGGCTGCAGAAAATATGCCCCCCAAGCTATTTCCTGGGAACTAGGTAGTCTTTAGGGGACATCAAGCCCAAGGCCATATGTATGAAAATGTTTCCAAATCCAGGATATAAAAGAGAATGGAACACCTAAATTTATTAGAGGCATGACAAAGCCATCCCGTGAATGAACAACTGTGTGGTGATGAAATTCTCCCCACCAGAAAATGAAAGAATGATTCTCCCCTCGCTGCTCTTTTCTGTGTCTGTATTGCATCTTTTAATATTTGGTATTTAGTATCTCTCATATCCAAGCAATGTCTTCAGGCTGCTTTGGACTTACCGGTATCCCCTTGTTATAAATAGAAAGAAGGAAAATCTATGAATTTTCACATTGAACAAGCAAGAATTTTTTTAATCTATTTTTTAAAAGGGAGGAGGAAAAGCCTGTGGAATAAGTATTGCTCTTATTTTCAGTATCTTTGGGGAAAAAAAGAGAGAGAGAAAGAAAGAAAGAAAGGAAAGAAAGAAAGAAAGAAGGAAGGAAGGAAGGAAGGAAGGAAGGAAGGAAGGAAGGAAGGAA